TTTGCCTATTTTCCTCTGAAAATCATACGTTATATCGAAGTGTACGCTGTAAAGGTGTACGTTCTAAGCGATACCGGCAAATGGAATAATGCATTACACAAATTCGGGACATCGAAATTTGAACGTTGTATTGGTGTAAACGTTATAAACGGGGTACGTTGTAACGAGGTTCGACTGTATTTAAAAAAAAAAAAGCCCAAAACGACATTTGGTGACAACAGCTTTTTTACTTCTAAGGAAAATTTAAAACTTCAAATTGAACAACATGTTAATTTTAACACCTTAAATATATAAATATAAATAAATTTGACATGTTTCCTCCTTTACATGCAATTATTTTTAAACATATGTTACATGTCCCGGGGTTGGAATCCTTTAGAGAGCCACGATTAGTGAGTGGCGCTGCACATGGCACGACATCAGAGTATGTTTATGCTTGAATAATTCTCTGAATAATACTACAAGAAAACTATGATCGTTTTGAGATTATTCTGTTCCAATGAGAAAATGTTTTCTTCAAATCTGTAATTGTTATGAGAAAATGATGAAAAAAAGATTTTGCATGGCTTTTTCTGGCTTATTTAGTGACTGATTAAAAGATGAGAAACTAGAGCTGGGCTATATGGCAAAAAAAATTATCACGATATTCTTAAGTCACTTCAGCATGGCAGTGTGAACGTAGCCTTATTTTCCAACCAATTTTTGTTTACATGCAAAAATAATAGAATAATAGAAAAATAATAAAAAATTATAGAAGGTTATTGATTTTCAAGTATTTAAAGAAACATAGCTCAAATGAAAACCATATGATAATGTAACAATGTGCAAAACTGTATAATATTGCAAATATGCTAAAGGGCAAACAAAATAAAGCAGGACAGAACTGACTGCAAAAAGTATCTTCCTCTTTTTGGTCTCTTACAAACTTTTTTAAATTCTGAGGTAGAAAAGTATCTAAACCAAACAAAAAACACACAAAAAAAATGCCAAATCATGGTTAGATTTTTTTTGTCCGGCGCTGCAAAACGTCACCACACGTCACCATGTCACATGATACAAAATGCCAATGCGTTATCTGCTGTTTCTCCCGAAAAGCACGTAAAGCAGTGAGAACTGGTTTTCAGTTCATTTACCTGGTAAAATAAAGTTTAAATAAATTACATAAATGCTCTTACAGTACACGTAAGTTAGTGGTTTATTTATTGTTAGTTACTGTAATGTTGCGCTGCTTTATTTGTTTAATCGTCCAGTCTGTGAAGAAGGCATTAAAGTAAGAATTGCATTGTACTCTGTACATGACAATAAAAACTTTGAATCCTTGAAATACATGCATTTGATCTTTTTCCTGGCAGCTATCTTTTTACACAGAGCCACTATACACAATAGTTTATTTTCACTGCTAACAGTTTGTATCAGGAGTTTGTTATTGTAAAAGAAGTAATGTGCATGCAGGTGATATTTGTATATATTTACTACACCCTTCTGGCAGTGCTGCCATTGCAGTCAGGTCTCGCAGACTACGAGGAGTAGAAGTTGTCCGACTTGGCTGCCGTCAGTTTATACTGCACCCCTACAACCACCGGCAGACCGCGCTCCATGTCGCGTCAGCTGCAGATAGACCTAAACCCAAGTCGAATGCACCCATTGCTGCTTTAAGGGAGGATGGGCAAAATTACAACATTGTCGGTGATTGGCTGTTGTGCTAGCGTCCAGTAAACCTCTGCTCGATAGGCCATCGGGTTGTCTGTCTCAGCACATTCTCTAAAACGGAGCAAAC